AGGGAGGTCAGAGTGGGCGACGGGAGAAGGGGAGGACGAGACGCGTGGGAACGAAGCAACATAGTGTGAGAGCGCGAGACAGGGGAGACAGGTCGAGCACGGGAGGGACGGCGAGACTAGACGTGAGACGGAGGAGTCGGGTCAGGGGACACAGGAGGGGACACAAGAGGGGAACGAGGGGGGAAACGGGCCGGAGACGAATTCAGAGGAGGGAACACAGGGCTGTAGACAGGAGGAGGAGGAGGCACATGCACGGGGTTAGGGGACGGAAGGCCGAGCAGGCGAAGAGCGGACACCGGCGGAGACTGCTGCGGCGGCAGTGTGACACCGACACCGGGACCACAAGCTGCATGGCGGCTACCTCCAGAACACTCCATGCCAGCACCCCCAGAAGGAACAACCCCAGAGCTCAGAACCCCTCGAGCACCGGTACCACCCCCAGGCCCGCCGGGACAAGCCACGACAGGAGTCCTAGGACTAGTACCCACCCCAACTCCAGCACCCCCAAAGGCAACGAACTGCTGCGGCGACGGCGGCAGCGGCGGCGGCTGCAACGACGGCTGCGGCTGCGGCGGCGGCGGTGACGATGGCTGCGACAGCGGTGGCAACGGTGGCTGCGGAGGCGGCGGAGGAGGAGACACCTGAGAAGGGGCAGGCGGCGAGGACTACGCCGCTGGACCACCAGAGTCAGCAGACTGCTCAACCGGGACAACCGACGTAAGTGGGGTGACGTGGGACACACTAGAGGGGGCAGGACGGGGAGGGGGAGGAGGAGGGGCGGCGACGACCGGGGAAGGGGTGACCAGGAAAAGGGGGGGGTAACCTGGGGACCTCGGTGGGGGAAGCGGCGGAAGAAGGAGACGTACTCGTCAAAGGTGACGTCACGGGAGTGAAAGAACCTGTGAGACGGCGGGTGGTAGAAGTGCCAATCGGACGTGTCAAGGGGGAAACCGAGGAAGACACAAGGAAGGGTGCGGGCAGTGAGCTTGTCCGTGCCAGAGGCACGAACGTGAGCAAGGCAGCCCCAGACGTGAAACGCAAACGCGTAGCGAACGTAGCGAACGGCGAATGGCCACAGAAAATGGGGTGCCCCGGCATGGATCATGGAGGTGCGAGCCACCTCCATCACCAAACCGATGCATCGCTTAGCGACCCTATTCTACTACGGGGAGTCCGGCAAGGTGAACGTCTGGGTGATGCCCTCCGCACGACAGAAACGACCAAGGACACCAGAGGCAAACTCGCCACCACGGTCGGAGTGGAAACGCAAGGCAGGGAGACCGCGGTGGACACGCGCAGAGACAAGCCACGGGATAAGAACGGCAGGCACGTCAGCCTTCCGCTCCAGGGGGAACATAGTGGTGTAGCGCGTGTAGTCGTGGACAAGCACTAGGAAGTAGCGCTCTCGACGCGGCCCATGGACGGGGGCGGGGCCCCAGACGTCCATGTGCAGAGTCTGTAGCGGTGCTGCAGTAGGGGGAAACGAGGAGGAGTGAGGGGCACAGCGGAGCCGGCCCTCGACACAGGGCGTGCAAGGTGGGGTTGGGGAGGAGGGAAACTCGGGGAACGACCCGGGAAGGCCTAGGACGAGACCGTGCTGTGACATGTGACGCAGACGCGGGAGCGCAGGGTGACCTAGGCGGTGGTGCCAGAGAAGAGTCGGGTGAGTGAGAGACCGACAGAAGCAGGCAGCAGCAACCGGGGGAGACGCAGTCACCCGAGGGGGGGTCCCAGCCGGGGGGGTCACCGTGTCCAGTGTGAAAAGACCGGACACCGGGTCCCATGGGAACGTGGACAGGGGGGCACCAGTGGCGGCCTCGGTACAGACAGCGTACCGCTCGTGTCCAGGGAACGTAGTGGTGACGCCAAGGTCCTGAAGGCAGGCGACACCAACTAGGTTCCTGGAGAACGAGGGGATGTGCAGTCCTGTGAGCGAGCCTGAAGGAACCGCCGGGCAGGGGAGGGTGGTGGAACTGCTGGCGACTACTGGGCCGGAGGAGGGGTCAGCAAGAGAGACTGCAGCAGGGACAGGAAGCAGTGTCAACGTGGTGGAGTCGCGGAAGAAGCACCGGGAAGCGCCAGAGTCGAGGGTGAAGGAGAGCGCGGCAGTGGCGGCCAGAGGCGAAGCAGCGACGGAAGCACCAAGGCTAAACAAAGTAGGGGATCCTACGCCTGACGCAGCAGGGGAGTTTAAGCAAGGCACACCTACACTAGGCAACAAGGGGTAATAAGACGGAAGCACACTAGAGTCATCAGCATACATCACATGCAGAGTTGTAACAATCTCATCCATATCCAGATCAAAAATCTGAACCCTACGACGAAGCAAACTGTGCCAGTCTGGGAGCTTGGGCGACGGGCCGAAACGCTGGCGAAACAGGTCGTCCAGGCGACGGAAACAGCAGACGGAGGTGTGACCGATTTTACCGCAAACGAAGCCACGGCGAGGACCGGTCTGGAGCAGGTACTGACAGCGCGCGTCACCCGAACCACCACTCGGCAGCCCACCACGCGCACCACCACCACGTCCAGCACTACCACCAGCGCCAGGCCACCCGGGCGGGAGACCACTCGCCCGTCTCTGCTGCGGCTGCGACTGCTGCAGCTGCTGCGACTGCTGCGGCTGACGCGAGTCCGGCTGCAACGCCGGCGGCTGCTGAGACGGCTGCTCGGCTGCACCTGGCTGGGTCCCCTCGTCCGCACCACCACCAGGAGACCCAGCTCCAGCACCACCTACACCTGCACCCCCACCCCCGCCGCCACGCCCAGCCTTGGGGCGGCGACCCTTCCCCGGACGGACCTGTGCTGCAGCGGCTGTCTCAGCCACAGCAACAGAACCGTCAGAGAAGGTGCACTGAGCGGGGGCGCAACCCTGAAAGATAGGGACCGGCACAGTACCGTTGGTCTGAGCGATAGAGCAGTGGCGGGCCTCTATAGCGAACAGGGTGTCAACAAAGTCAGTGAGGGTGAGGTCTGCGGGGTGGACGCTAAGGAAGTGGTCACGGGCAGTGGCAAGAGGGTCAGGGAGGCGGGTGGCTAGCATGTAGAGAGTAGAGGTGAGGGGCGGTTGGTGGGCTAGAAGCTGTGTGGGAGTGCAGGCAACACGCCAGGTCTCGTCTATAGTGCGCAGGTGAGCGGCCAGGTCGGCGACAGTGGGGAACGACGCAAGGTCAGGGAAGAGCATGGGGAGGATTAGACGACCGACCGAGGCAGCAGGCGGGGTGGAATAGCGCTGGACAACAGCATCTAGGAAAGCCTGGGCAGTGGTGATGGACTTGAAGCGAGGTCGCTCGGACAGGGGGAGGGCATTGCTAATGGCAAGCTGTGCGACAGCGTCACGGGACAGCCAGACAGAGCAAGCAAGGGCAGCGGCGGCAGCGGACTCACGCTCAGCGGACGAGGGATCAGTAGACAGTGCAGCGGGGGGCCAGGGCAGGGGAGAGTACCGTCAAGATGGACAGACAGAGAGTGGCCATCTTGCCGCTGACCAGTGAGGTGGCGACGGAGGTCAGCAAGCCACGGATCAAACTCAATCGGCTGGCCCTCAGCGTCAAAGCGAAGCACCTCCGCCATCAGTGACAATAGAGGGTAGTGGAGAGCAGTACAGTGCGGTACAGTATTGCGCAGTGCGGTACAATGCGGTACAGTGCGGTGCGGTGCGATGCAGTGCGGTGCAGTGCGGTGCGGTGCGATGCAGTGCGGTGCAGTGCGGTACAGTGCGGTGCAAGGCGGTCTAGTACAGTACCGGGGGGTTCGCAGGGCAGTGCTGATCGGGAGGAACGGGCCGAACCCGAGGCGGCGGCATGCTGGCGACGACACGAATGCAGGAGCCGGCCGGCGAACGGCAGACGCGAGGGGCCAGCAAACGGCGGCAACGGGGGCCGGCGAGGAGCTTGCGCGACGGCAAGTAGGGCCAGCCACGACGGCAAGGAGACACGGCCGCGACGGCGGCCAGGGACAGCCGTGACGGCGGCCAGGGGCGGCCGCGACGGCACGAGTGACCGTAAGGCGGCTGGAGACAGCAGCGACAGCAGCTAGGGGTGGCCGTGAGACCGCTAGGGGCGGCCGTGGGACGGTAGGAAACGGGCGCGACGGCCAGGGGGCCGGCTAGGGACGGGCGCGACGGCCAGGGGGCCGGCTAGGGGCGGACGCGACGGCCAGGGGTCCAGCTAGGGGCAGACGCGACGGCCAGGGGGCCGGCTAGGGACGAGCGCGACGGCCAGGGGGCCGGCTAGGGACGAGCGCGACGGCCAGGGGGCCGGCTAGGGACGGGCGCGACGGCCAGGGGGCCGGCTAGGGACGGGCGCGACGGCCAGGGGGCCGGCTAGGGACGGGCGCGACGGCCAGGGGGCCGGCTAGGGACGAGCGCGACGGCCAGGGGGCCGGCTAGGGACGGGCGCGACGGCCAGGGGGCCGGCTAGGGACGGGCGCGACGGCCAGGGGGCCGGCTAGGGACGGGCGCGACGGCCAGGGGGCCGGCTAGGGGCGGACGCGACGGCCAGGGGGCCGGCTAGGGGTGGACGCGACGGCTAGGGTGCCGGCTAAGGACGGACGCGACGGCCAGGGGGCCGGCTAGGGGCGGACGCGACGGCCAGGGGGGGCTGGCTAGGGACGCGCGTGACGGCCAGGGGGCCGGCTAGGGACGGGCGCGACGGCCAGGGGGCCGGCTAGGGGCGGACGCGACGGCCAGGGGGGCGGCTAGGGGCGGACGCGATGGCCAGGGGGCCGGCTAGGGACGGACGCGACGGCCAGGGGGCTGGCTAGGGGCGACGGCCAGGGGGCCGGCTAGGGACAAGCGCGACGGCCAGGAGGGCCGGCTAGGAGCGGGGCACGACGGTGGCTAGGGCCTAGAGGGCGGAAGCGTGGGCGGGCTAGAGGGGAACCTAACCTACTATGATACCATATAAGAAAGAATAAATTGGACTAGAATGTGAGTACAAAGGTATATAGACTAGGGTGTTGTACCCTTTAAGGCGCGATCCAGTATAGTCTACAGTAACGACCTAAGTTACATTTGACAGTCTGCACAAGCAGATCTACCTCCAGCGCCCTCTAGGCTTCTCTGGGTCGTTCCCACCTGGGACCGAGTGGAGCTCCTGTCTACGACCTTTTTCAGGCACCCCATGAGTGGCACAACACGCCTTGCACTACTCTTGCTGAGCTGCAATTCTTTCCGTCCTCTGCTGACCCCTCTCTCTTTGTTCGAACGGGTCAGACGCCGTTCTACATTCTAGTGTACATAGACGATCTCAACTATGAAAGCGATGTACTCGCCAGATACCGCAGTACCCTCTTGGCAGCTGGCCAGTATCGCTATCATCTTTAATGTGCACTGTCATTGTTCGCTTTAAAATGCCACTAGAATAAGTGCTTCTATGGAATGGGAACAATGACAGGCAGATGATGACCAACGACCCGGAGACAACTGGGTGCCTCATTTTGGACTAACGTGTTGAAAGAGGGCCAGAGGAGCAAGAAAACGGCAATAATAACCATACCGGTAGATAAGGGCTTGATAGGATGCGCTGTGTAGGTGGAGAACACTCCGGGAAGAACTGCCCCTCTGGGCGTAGAAGCACATGTGCTGGGCGTGGCAGCAGTCCCTCTCCCCACCACCCTGCATTCACAACACCACCCCACCAGCCTGGCCTCAAGCCACTACGTGCCCCTAGCGGGCGTTGCGGTCCGGCTCAGTCCAGTCTGGTCCGGTGCAGTACGGTGCGGTACGGTGCGGTGCAATCAGCCCCAGAAGCTTCGGGTGGGCGTGGCGAGTGTCACGCTCCTGGTGGCGGCGATCTTGGGCTGCTGCTGCTGCTGCTGCTGCTGGGGCTCGCTGGGTGTGGGCTGCAGGAAGCGGAAGTGCGGGTCGCGCCTCAGCTCGGGCGGCAGAGGCACCTCGTCCAGGTTGATGTCGCCCATGGACGCCACCAGGTCCGTGATGGCGAACGGCACACTGGGGGGGGAGGGGAGGGGGAGGGGAGTGGGGGGAGGGAGGTAGATATGGGGAGAGGGACATGGACGTGTGAGCCCTGTGTGTGGTTGGGAGAAGCACCTCGTCCAGGTTGATGTCGCCTATGGACGCCACCAGGTCCGTGATGGCGAACGGCACACTGTGTGGGGGAGGGTAGGGAGGGGGGATGAGGGAGGGGGTGAGGGTAGGAATGGAGAGAGGGACATGGACGCATGGGTCCTGCCTTAGGTTGGCAGAGGCGCCTCAGCTAGATGGATGTCGCCCATGGATGCCACCAGGCTGTGATGGCACACAGCACACACGTGGGGGAGGGAGGTTGGGGGAAAGGGGGACATGGGATTGTGGGTCCCACCATGGGCTAACTGAGAACTCTCATCCTGGTTGGGGTTGCATGCGCGCATGGATGACATGCCATCAGGGCCATAAAAAACGGCGAATGGCATACTAGGGGGGAGGGGGGTGGGGAGGGGCCAGGGGAGGGCGAGTTGAAGGTAGGGATGGGGAGGGGGCATGGACGTGTGGGTCCGGCGTGTAAAGCTGGGAGAGGCATGCCGCCCAGGTTGATTTCTCCCATCAAAGACTAGACCAGCGATGGCGAATGGCACAGTGCAGACGGCTGAAGGGTGAGGGCAGAGAGAGTGAAGGGTGTGCGGACATTCACTGCACAGACGCAAACTTATCTACTCTCATACACGCGCACTCACACCCCCCCCCCCCCCACACACACACACAAGCATGCACAAACAGGTTTCCACGTGCAAACGCACCCAGAGCTGCCCACAGCCAAACGCATCCCCCTGTCTCACCTCTCATCGTCCTTGAGCATCTTGGCATCACCATCATCCGCCAGGTCGCTGAGCTCGTAGTTGACGTCGGGGCCAAACTCACATGCAGGCGCGCACACGCTGCAAATACCAACACTACTACCACCAGAACCAACACCAACACCAACACAAACACAAACGCATTCCCCTCTCTCACCTCTCGTCGTCCTTGAGCATCTCGGCGTCGTCGTCGTCCGCCAGGTCGCTGAGCTCGTAGTTGACGTCGGGGTCGAAGCCCAGCGTGCCGTACTTCTCGTCCTGGTACCACAGGCAGATCTTCCCCAGCTGCTTCCCATTCAGGTCGGGGCACAGCTTGCGCACGTCGTCCACCGTCGCACGGTGCTTGTTCTTCATCGTCTGCAGGGAGGGGAGGGTGAAGGATGGAAGAAAAGCGGGGCAGGGGGGGGGGGGGAAGGGGAGAGGAGGGGAGGGGAGGGGAGAGGGGGTGTTTGAAGCTGGAGAATATCCAGTCTGCAACACCCGTTGTGACTTGTTCTTTTGAGAGAGAAACTGCACACTGGGGTGGGGGGGAGTTGGAAAGAAGGGAAGCAAGGGAGATGCGAACAAAACACGGAAAGCAAGGGATGAAAGGGGAGGAAACGCAGGAGGAGCGGGGCACTCATTAGCACCAGCACAGCCGCTTGGCGTGGCAGAGGCTGTCTCTCACGCCCGGGAGCTCGGGGAGAACGGATGGGAAGACAGCAACAGTGGGAGACGGGAAGAAGAGGCGAGACACCGGGGGCAAGGGCAGTCTCACCAGCAGCAGCGCGGCCTGCCGCACGTGGCACAGGCTGTCCTTGAGCCCTGGGAGCTCGCCCTGTGCGCGCTTGGCGTGGCTCATCTCGAGGTCCGTGAGCCAGCGGTCCAGCTTGCCCATGCCCTCCTCTATGGTCTCGCCGTTGCTGAAGTTGCACGGACACCACTGGCTCCGTACCATCAGGCTGCAAAGCGGGGGGGGAGGGAGGGGGCGGGGACGGGGGAGGTGGGGGGTGTGTGGAAGGGGCGGAACGAGGGAGGTCGGAAGGGCTCTAGTGGAGCTTGCCTATGCCCTTCCCTATGGTCTCGCCGTTGCTGAAGTTGCACGGACACCACTGGCTGCGCACCATCAGACTGAGAGGGGGGGAGAGAGGGGGGAGGGGAGGGGGGAGGGAAGGAGGACACAACAGGGAGGGGTTGTGGCAGTATTGAGGGGGCAGAGAGCAGGGGATGGAATTGAGGGAGGGGCCATGGTGGAAGCTCGTCGTGCCATTGGTATTACAGTAATAGAGATATGATACGGCATGCTGTATGCCATGATATGCAAGCCACGACACAAGCTAGTGCGAGGTCGACATACGACATCAAATGCCTTGGCACGTGCCATATGAGAAACACAACGCAGGCACATGGTCATCCACCAGTGCTGCCACCATGTGCCCCACTGTCATATCCAGCCCCCCCCCCGCCCCCCACCCCTCCCCTTCCACCCCCTTCCCTCTTCCCCCCCCCTCTTTCCCACTTTCCCCCCCCCGCTTCCCCCCATCTGCTCACCTGTTGAATACGCGTAAGTCGACATACGACAGCAGCTGCCTGAGCACGTGCTGGATGAGGAACACGGGCACGTGGTTGTCCTCCAGCGCCGCCACCATGTGCCCCACCGTCTCCAGCACGTTCCCCCAGTAGTCCAGCATCTGCCGCCGCATGCTGCCTGCTGACCGCGGGAGGGAGGAGCGGTCGCCCCCGGAGGAGCCCCCACGGGCGCGGCGGGAGCGGGGGGTTGGGGTCGCTGCTGCCTTGCGGGGGGTCTGGTAGGGGAAGGGAGAGCGGAAGGGAGTCGGTTTGGGGGGCCCGGGGGGAGTGGGGGGAGAGGAGGGGCCATTGGGTGAGGGGGCGATGGGGGAAAGGCAAGGAGATGGGCAAAGGGAGGGGGAATGGACAGTGCGTTCCCCTGGGAGTCTAGCATCTGCTGCCAGATGCTGCCCGCTGAGCACGGGAGAGATGACCGGTCAACCCCAGAGGAGCCCCCGCAGGTGAGGCGGGACCGGGGGGTGGGGGTGGCTGACGCCTTGCAAGGGGTCTCGTGGGGATGGGTAGGGAGGGGATGGGTGGTGAAGTGAGGAAGAGAGGAGGGAGAGGAAGTGGTAGTAGGTTTGACACCATGGAGTGGCCGCTGCATGGTGATTGAAAACACAGAGAGAACGCAGCCCCTTTGTGCCTTGCACTCGCTCCTCCTCATCTCCCCCACCTGGCCTCGTCCTCACGTACCTCTCCGTATACTAACCTCTCTTCCCCCTCTCAGCCCCTGTGTACCCCACCCGCCCACCTGCCCCACCTGCCCCACCCGGCCCATGCGCCCCACCCCACCTGGCCGACGAGGTGGCCGCTGCCGAAGTGGCCCTGCAGCTCGTTGTTGATGGAGTCGCGCACTGTCACGTAGATGCGCTCCGTCGCGAGCCGCAGCTGCGTCTTGAACAGCGTCAGATCCACCGCTGACTTGCTCTCCGACGCCGCCTGGGGGGGGGGGAGAGGGCGGGAAGGGGAGAGAGAGGGGGAAGGGACGAGGGGGAAGGGGGGGGGGAGGAGAGGGGGAAGGGGGGGTTTGGGGGGTTGGGAAGAGATATGAGGGGATCTATTGCCGGAAGCAGCTGCGTCTTGAACAGCGTCAGATCCACTGCTGACTTGCTCTCCGACGCTGCCTGGCAGGAGGGAGGGGGGGAAGGGGAGAGAGGGTCAGACCCGCCGCTGACTTGCGATCAGATGACCTTCCTGGGATGGAGCGGCAGGGAGCACAGCAGGTGATGGGACGTGATGGAGAGGGTTTCTGGGGCTGGACTCAGCCGCGCCTTGAACAGCGTTAGGGCCACCGGCTTCGTCAGAGGATGCCGCCTGGGGAAAAGGGGTGGGGAGATGTGGGGAGGACGAGGGG